TTTTTCTCTGACTGGCTTATTTTATGGTTGTCTTGAGAGTTGGCACATAAAGTCAAATTATTAAAGGAAGAAGCCTTACTACATGAACCTTTAACAATATAATTCAAGTCTAATTGATTTGATTTATTGAATACTTATCATTTTTAATATTATACAAGACGTCCAGGTATTAAACATCCTAGCTTACCTACAATTACATTTTCAATTTAAAGGCAGAGCTCAGTTGGTGGTGATTACTGAACCAATTTTCAAAAGCTAGATATGAATCTGTATGGAATGGCATTCCTACGTTACTTGACTGAGGGTATAACATGTGCACAGGCATAAAAAGAATAAACAACTATGTATATTGCAGCAACTGAAAGCAGTTTTACATAGGATGTAAAATTTAAGGTTGGGGAGCAGGTAGAAAGCGTCTAGAAATTCCTAGCTTTTCCTGAGGTTACAGAGAAGTCAGATCCTCTGAAAGGGGTATAGGAATTGAAAATTAGATCCTTTCTGTACTGATTCTATTACATTACCCCTGCTCTGACCATCTGAGCTCCTTATCTGAAAAAGACAATTAGGATGTCTCTTCTAGGCTTATGAGAGCTAATCTCTCTCAAAGACACAAAAACAACAGCAATCATGTTGACAACAAGGATGCTGTTTATTAAGCACCTAATATGTTTGTTTTCTTTTTAGCTTCTTTCCATCCAGTATCTCAATGAATAAAAACTCAATTATAAGAACTACCCAGAGCCGGGACCGGTTTGGCTCAGTGGATAGAGCGTCGGCCTGCGGACTGAAGGGTCCTGGGTTCGATTCCAGGCAAGGGCATGTACCTTGGTCGGGCACACCCCCAGTAGGGGGTGTGCAGGAGGCAGCTGATTGATGATTCTCTCTCGTCGATGTTTCTTTTTCTTTTTTTTTTTTTTTAATATATTTTATTGATTTTGTACAGAGAAGAAGGGAGAGAGATAGAGAGTTAGAATCATAGATGAGAGAGAGTCATCGATCAGCTGCCTCTTGCACCCCCCCCACTGGGGATATGCCCGCAACCAAGGTACATGCCCTTGACCGGAATCGAACCCGGACCTTCCAGTCCCCAAGCCGACGCTCTATCCATTGAGCCAAACCAGTTTCGGCTCTCGTCGATGTTTCTAACTCTCTATCCCTCTCTCTTCTTCTCTGTGAAAAATCAATAAAATATATTAAAAAAAAAAAAAAAAAAGAACTACCCAGAGACAGGCATTATTCTCACTTTATCCTTAAAGCAATGGAGCTCAAAGTTACATAGTGGGTACGTGTGTAGAGAAGGCCTTTGGTAGTAGCTGTGTTGGCTTGCAAACTTAAACCTTTGGTGCGTCAAAGGCCATGTCTTGACATGCATCCTAAAGCGTAATGCCCCAGCAAACCATGAGGATCCTATTAAGATACAAGAGAAACTGCTCTCTCCATTTGGCTTCTCTTCTTTCTATCGAATGGAACGTTAGGTTGGGAAGGTTAGGTTAAGATGTAAGAGAGATGTGCTGCTCAACCCACAAGACCACAAATGTAAACCAAACTGGGGAGAAGTCTGCTGTATCTAGTTTTTAGGGAATAGCCTTAGGGATTTGTCTTAACGTTAGTTCAAGACTCTACCATCACCCTCAAATGCTGTAAGGATATCAAACTTCGTTAGAGATTTGCTTCCAGGCTGAGATCTAATCTCAAGGATATTCTTCATCCCTCCTTTAGAAAGGCCTTTCTGATTTCTATTTGGTGTCCTTAGAATAGCTTCAGATTCCAGGGAGGCCAGCAACGAGCAAGAGCAGGAGTTGGACCCAAGGGATCAGACTCAATTAGGTCTGTCTCCTTAGACTTCTCTGGACCAACCCTGACATAGCAGGGATAGCTGTGCCTAAATTTAGGTTCTGTGTCCATCCTTATCTGAAAAAGACAATTAGAATGTCTCTTCTAGGCTTATGAGAGCTAATCTCTCTCAAAGACACAAAAAAGCCTGCTATTTCCTTCTCCACTGAGGGAAGTGAGAAGGTTATGAGTCCAGGTGGAATTCTCTCAAGCCCTGAATAGAATGCTTATAATGTGCCAGGCCTCAGAGGTATTTGCAGAGCCACAGGCTCTTGTTCTCTGACACTACCCAGCCCAGGTAAGAGCATCTTATAAAGGGGATTTTAGGAAAGAAACAGGGGTCATCAGGAAGAGTTCCCAGTCTATAAGGATGAACAGTTGGGACACTTAGCTTGTGCTCTTGTATAAGTCTCCAAGATAAGATTTAGAAGGAAGGAATTCTCTCAGAGTGGGACTTAAAAGGGGTGGAGTCCACAGAGTCAAACACAAGAAGGCTAAAAAGGCCTTTAATCCACTAACACCAATTCAAGTCCTTCCGAAAACATCTCCGGGTGCTTTAAGTAGGTACAATATTTTATTCTCATTCAACATGTGTAGACATTGTGTTAGCAAAGGGATTACACTAGAGAAAAAGAGAAGGCATGCTTTCTGTTCTTTTTTTTTTTTTTTTTTTTTTTTTAAATATATTTTATTGATTTTGTACAGAGAGGAAGGGAGAGAGATAGAGAGCTAGAAACATCGGTGAGAGAGAGTCATCGATCAGCTGCCTCTTGCACACCCCCCACTGGGGATACACCCGCAGCCAAGGTACATGCCCTTGACCGGAATCGAACCCGGGTCCCTCAGTCCCCAAGCCGACTCTCTATCCATTGAGCCAAACCGGTCTCGGCTATGCTTTCTGTTCTTATGGAACACATTCTGTTTGGGGAAACATGCATTTAATCAGACAATTCAGAGCATTATGTGTGCAGTACAAAGACAGGTACCAAGCAGAGAGTAAGTGTTGGAGCAGACCATTTAAAGGTGACATCTAAGTTGTGGCAAGGTGCACATGTAAGGATTAGCCAGGTGGAGAAGATGAGAATATTTCAACATCAGGAAAGAGCATAGGTAATTCTCAAGAGGCAGAAGACCATGATACCGTTAGGAAATGGACAAAATTCAGCCTTGTTGGAGGGTAGGAGGCAGGATGAGGAATGGTAAAAGCTGTGGTTGATGTTGGCAAATGTACCTGGGTAGAATTCAGGTGGGAGGTTGTTCTTCCGTGATTCCTTACACCCTCACGGTAACCTTGAAAAGGAGGTACAGTAGCCTCCTTCTGTTGTGTTTAAGGTGTGAGGGCTGCTCTGACTACAGAAACATAGATAAGGAGTATTGGGATCATAGGGAAGAATGAGTGGTCACCAATGGTCAGCCTACCCCCATCTAGCAGCTGAAGAACATCTCTCTAGTTGTGAGATGAGGCCTGATTGCTTTCAAGAGAACTCATATGCCCCTAATTCGTTATGCATACAAATTTAGCCTCATATTTAATTTGGGCTGTGAGATGACAAGACTTTTAGGTCCAAATCTAGAAGGGAATAACTGCCCCAGGGTGTGATTGAGTAGTGATGAGACACAAATGGCATCAGAAGGGAAGACAAACTGCTAACACAGTTTCCTCACTAACAGGAGAGTAATTTCTGCAAGCATGGGAACAGTAGGCATAGTCACATGTCAAGTCCTGCCTATTTTTCCACTTCAAGGACTCTTGTTTTCCTGGAGTAAAACAACATTCTCCACATTATTACACCTTTGCTTAGTATAACATAAAGTTATAAAAGTCAGTTAATAACTGGTAAAAGTAAAATAGACAAGTCCCCTTTTATTGTTCTTAACTTTTTCTGTCTGAGTTATTTCGCTTAGCATGATATTCACAAATGGCAGTATTTCATCTTTTCTAATGGCTGAGTAGTATTTCACTTTACTGTTACTGCTATCACTGTCTCTATTTCCATTTGTAGTGATCTATGAGAACCCTGAGATGGTGAAAACACAGTTTATGGAGAGGAATTCTGTGGGATAAAGTCACCACAACAGATTTACATAGGTTGCTATCCTCCAGAATCATGGCTCCCTTCAGCTACAGGCATTCTAGAGTTCTTTGGAGTTGATTGAATGTATTTTGGGTTTTGCACATTATTCTTTTTTTTGTGTGTGTGTGTATTTATTGGTTGCTTCTTTTTTTTTTAAAATAAGTTTTTATTGTTCATATTATTACAAATGTTCCTCCCCCCCCCCCCACCATTGCTCTCCTCCACCAGGTTCCCACCCCACCCTCTGCCCTTTCCCCAGGGTTTTGCACATTATTCTAAAAAGATATAATGCTTGGTGTTATTGTGTCAGATTAAATTAGAAAGCATTTAATGACTTCTCTAGGTCACAATGGCCTAAGTCTGTTGTGGAATGAAGTTAGTTGTATTTATCTAATGAGTTAAAGTAACTTGTCTAAACTCCTATTACCAGGATCTGACACCATATCTGGGAAATTCTAAAGCCCAGACTACTTACTAACTACTCTGCTCATTCAACCCAACTGGTTCAAAATATAGAAGACAAAGCTTCTTCTCGTCCTTGACATTCCTGTAATATAGTACATAGGAACACATTCTGGTATCTCTTAGACCCTGAAAAAAAAATACACTGTAAGAATGACATGACATAAAAAGTGCTGAATAAAATTAATTGCTATTTGTATTTCTCAACATTAATATGTCTCTTCTTTCAAGGAATCCTCGCTTTGAAGCAAAATATGATCCTGGGAGATACTACACAGTTCTGAAGAGTTAAATGACTGACTAGATACTTGTCTGCCTTAGGTCATTTCATTCCTTGATGCAAGAACATTACTCCTTGAGAACTATATTACAAAAAGATGTTCAGACATTTCATCAAATATGTATTTTGGCCTGTGCTTGGTAAATTTGTAAGTACTATAATAACAATAATATGACATTTACACTGTGACATTTTATAATTTCATCTGAGAAAGAAGTTTATGGCATCTTATCAATGATCTTATTCTTTATTATAGGACTTAAGAATAAAATCCTCTTGTCTTTTATTTCTAGAAAAAAAGTTCTACTGCATTTTGGGGTCTAAGGGAGAAGGTTCATTTATGAATAGCTATGCTCACTTTTCATAATGTCTGCTCGGTACCCAGCTCCTTCCAGCTCACTGGCATCCCAGGGCTGGAGTCCCTGCACATCTGGCTCTCCATCCCCTTTGGCTCCATGTACCTGGTGGCTGTGGTGGGGAATATCACCATTCTGGCTGTGGTAAGAGTAGAGCGCAGCCTGCACCAGCCCATGTACTTCTTCCTGTGCATGCTGGCTGTCATTGACCTGGTTCTCTCCACTTCCACCATGCCCAAACTGCTGGGAATCTTCTGGTTTGGTGCTGGTGACATTGGCCTGGATGCCTGCTTGACCCAAATGTTCCTTATTCACTGCTTTGCCACGGTCGAGTCAGGCATTTTTGTTGCTATGGCTTTTGACCGCTACGTAGCCATCTGTGACCCACTGCATCATACCACAGTGCTCACTCATATTATGGTGGGACGTTTGGGACTGGCTGCCCTCCTCCGGGGTATACTCTACATTGGACCTCTGCCTATGATGATTCGCTTGCAGCTGCCCCTGTACAAAGCCCGCGTCATCATGCACTCCTACTGTGAGCACATGGCTGTGGTCACCTTGGCGTGTGGTGACAGCAGGATCAATAATGTCTATGGGCTGGGCATTGGCTTTCTGGTGCTGATCCTGGACTCAGTGGCCATTGCTACCTCCTATGTGATGATTTTCAGAGCTGTGATGGGGCTGGCCACCCCTGAGGCCAGGCTTAAAACCCTGGGGACATGTGGTTCCCACATCTGTGCAATTCTGGTCTTTTATGTTCCCATTGCCGTTTCCTCCCTCATTCATCGATTTGGTCACCAGGTGCCTCCTCCAGTCCACACTCTGTTGGCCAACTTCTATCTCCTCATTCCTCCAATCCTCAATCCCATTGTCTATGCTGTCCGCACTAAGCAGATCCGAGAGCGGCTTCTTCAAATCCTGAAGATACAAACTATGATCAGATGACTACCCCTTTCCCCTCTCTCAAATAAGTGCATGTGTTTAAATATGGGCAGCCTTCCAAATGGGAACTTCAAGAAGTCTGAAATGCTAAGCCCAGTGGTCTCCAGCTTTAATAATTCTAAAAGAATGCGAAGAAAGAATGTACAGCTCTGAATTCTAAGAGGAAAAGATATTTGTTTAATAACTGTAGGATATTTGAGATGTGGAAGGTAAAACAAGGACAGTATCAGTAATAGAAATATCAACTAATGTTTACTCAGCAATTACATATCGTGTAATTCTTACAAATGTCCTGACATCTTATGAGGTAAGTAGTATTCACATTTGATACATGAGGAAATAGGACAGGATACTCTTACTTTATAAACTGCACATAAAGTTTAAGCTGCGTGGATCAAATGGTTTGATTAGAAATTATAATATATTGTGGTGTTATATAATACTCTCTACTCTGTTTTCTGTGTATGTTTTAATATAAGTCCTAAAAATCTGAGGTCAGCCTAACTAATGTGCCTCAGTGGTTGAACATTGACCTATTAGCCAGGAGGTCACGGTTAGATTCCCAGTCAGGGCATATGCCTGGGTTGCAGGCTTGATCTCAGTGGGGAGTGTGCAGGAGGCAGTTGATCAATGATTCTCTCTCATCATTGATGTTTCCTTTTCTTTCTCCCTCCTTTTTCCTCTGAAATAAATAAAAAAATATATTTTTAAAAGTAAATAAATATAAATCTGAGGTCATTTTATTAAAATGGTCTGAGCTACAAGAAAAGTATTTTCATAATCAAGAATCTGCTAAAGATGCATGTACTAATAAAGCATTAAGTATTCTAGAAAAAAAACACTGATCTATATGCCTGACTGGTATGGGGAATTCCACTCATGCAAGAATGTGGCCTGAAAAAAAATATCAGCTCAATGAAGGAAATGAGGCAAAAGACCATGTCTCAACATTGCTCTCAATTTTCTCTGCAGGCCTGATCCCATCAAGTGGCCTGAATCTTGTGAGGGCTCCATGGAAAGAAACACCTTCTCCTTCTCACAGAAACACTCCTTAGTCCCTGGGTCTGCCCACCGGTAGGATCCTGGATCATAATGTGTTTTGTGAATGGGTCACACAGTGAGATAAAGTTATGAGTTCTAGCATTTATAGGAACATTGGCTTTACCTTCCAGGTAGAAAACGGATAATATATATAAAGCACTAAGCTATTTAAATTCTATGAATTTAAAATTACTAATGTGATTCTTATAACTACACTGAAAGGGCAGAAATTACTCTCCCCAAATTTCAGATGAAACTGAAATTCCCAAAAGTGGTAAAACAATTAATTGTCCAAGGTAAACTCAGTTTATAAGAGGTAATAATTAAGCCTTAAAAAAACAAAAACAAAAACCCTCCAGAGCTTCTACTCTTTCTTTGATCCTCATTTTCCTTAACTGTGAAAGAGCTGAAAGGCCTTTTCCTCAAGGTCTGAATGGTTGTGCATTTAACATTTCGAACACAGCAGACATTAGCTGTACCCTATTCCCCAAACTGGGAGTGCACAGATCAACAAAGCAGTCTCCTCTCAGTGTTCTCTTCCCAGAAGGATGACAAAGGATAGAGCTGGATTCATTACAAGTCTGATCACAATGCCGGGACCGGTTTGGCTCAGTGGATGGAGCGTCGGCCTGCGGACTGAAAGGTCCCGGGTTCGATTCCGGGCAAGGGCATGTACCGTGGTTGCGGGCACATCCCCAGTAGGGGGTGTGCAAGAGGCAGCTGATCGATAACTCTCTCTCATCGATGTTTCTAACTCTCTATCCCTCTCTCTTTCTCTCTGTAAAAAATCAATAAAATATATTTAAAAAAAAGTCTGATCATAAACTCCATAACACATTAAACAAAATAGGCAAGAAGACGTTGCAATTATTGGGCTTTGGGTATGCAAAACACTATCATTGGGCATGACACAAAAGGAGGTAATCAAGTGCAAAGGAAAGACCACTACATAATAACCACAAAAGTGACTTCTGATTTTTCTTTGGGTATTCCAGTTACTTGCCCCACGACTGGGATATCCAAAATGTATGATCACTTAGGGTTCCAATTATATTCACACTAGGGGAGTTCAGTGTGTGTGTGTGTGTGTGTGTGTGTGTGTATGTCCCTCAGCCTGGGGATGTTTTCCAATCTGGAACCTCTCTTATAATCCAGGACTACTAGCTCCCAATCTCTCACCTGCCTGCCTTCCTGATTGCCCCTAACCACTTCTGCCTGCCAGCCTGAAAACCCCCTAACCACTCCCCTGCAGCCTGATCGAAGCCTAACTGCTCCCCTGCTGGCCTGATAGCCCATAACTGCTCTCCCCAACTGGCCTGGTCACCCATAACTGCTCTCCCCTGCCAGCCGGGTTGCCCCTAACTGTCCTCCCCTGCAGGCCTTGTCCCTCCCAACTGTCCTCTCCTGCCAGCCTGGTTGCCCCTAACTGTCCTCCTTTGCAGGCCTTGTCCCTCCCAACTGTCCTCTCCTGCCAGCCTGGTTGCCCCTAACTGTCCTCCCTTGCAGGCCTTGTTCCTCCCAACTATCCTCCCCTGAAGGCCTGGTTGCTCCTAATTGCCCTCCCCTACAAGCCTGGTAGCCCCCACCTGCCCTCCCCTGCTGGCCTGATTGCCTACAACTGCCCTCCCCTGCTAGTCCTCTTGTGTCCACATGGGGGTGGCCATCTTGTGTGTTGAAGTGATGGTCAATTTGCATATTACCTCTTAATTATATAAGGTTTTTTCTAATACCTCTAATTTTCATTTCATCATGATATTTAGCTTTCCTGAACCTGATGTCTGAAATCAATAAAAAAAGAAAAAGAAAGGAACCATGAGACAGATGTAACAAAAGTCATAATTTTAAAATATAATCAACATTAAGACTAAAATATAAGTAAAATTTAATGAGATGCAATGTGAACAGATATTATAACAAAAATACATTCACTTTCTCATTTTTTTAGTACTGCTTTTGATTCAAATATAAAATAAATATGAGAAACAGATACATTTGGAAAGACAAATTAAATGCTCACTTAAGTGTTGTTTGTATTTATTGGTTAGCTTTCTAGCAATGGATACCTTAAGGAAGGATGCATGTAGAGAGTTGGAAGTAAAGAGTCTCATGACAGAAAGCCAAAGATCATAAGAATTGATGTGACCCTATCTAAATCCTGACCGCAAGAGACTTGTTACACTGAACCAACTGTAAGGAGAATTATTCTGCTGAATGGAAAACTTGGCTGTATTTTATAATAAAGAGACGCTTTTTCTAAAGAAGCAACTGAAATCTTCTAGACTGTTTTCATTGGGTGGCATTGTGGCTGGATTCTCTGGCACAAAGTGAAATTTTTCCCTGGGGTCCTAATGAAAAGCAGCTCAAGTGAAAAGGGCTGTGTGATTGAAAGTGGTTGTGTGTCAACACTTACTTGCATTTACTCTTATATACAAATGCAAACACACCTACATACAAGCCTGACACTGGCCCTTATGCCTAGGTGTCATGTTCAAATAAAACTTTGGCCTAGTGAGTTGTAGATTTAATCTTTCTTATTATATTCCAAAGGGTGGGAAATCAAAGATGTTGAAAGCTCTGGCTTCTATTGATATATGGAATACTTTTTCTCTGTATCATTATTCTGTTGAGTAATCATCCTTTGGGAATGCTTCTTCTTCTTTTTGAAACCCTTCTGCCATGATTCTGGGTGTGGTGAGTTTAAGGCCACACCCTGTTTATGAGGATCCACTCCTGCCATTGATATCTTAATAGGAAGCAGGTTGAATCCCAGAAGGAAGTGATCCATCTATCCCATTAGTCTGTCACAGTTTAGCCTCATATCATGCTGGGGCCATTTGGGTGGCACCTCCTTTGTATTCTTCATCTGATTGCCCACCTTTCCTATCAATATCCCACATTGTTGTTAATTATGCTTATGCTCTGGCCTGTTCTCTGACTTATCCTATAGGCAACAGAAACTCATAGGCTAAAGAATTTAAACATTTAAGTACAGCAGTTTTGGGACTAGTTCTCCCACAGGTTTGAAGACTGGACCTTAGGCTAGTAAATTGGACTTCAATCACCCACTTCCATTTTTAGGATTGTGATGAGTCAGGTTGAGGAAGGCATGAAACACTCCCCTGCCCCCCCCCCTAAAGGAAACAAAGGCCTCTCACCAATCACCATCACTAGTAACTGTATCTCCACTGAGGACCTGGGGCACTGGGAACAGGTAGCATCAACTCCAGATTTTTCATATTTCCATATGGCTCTACTTCTTTTGCCATTAAAAAATTAATCTTATATCTTGTGCTTGTTGGCTTCTTTCTCTTCACTTTATTTCTGCTCTGTGATGATGTCCAGGTAGAAGTCATGACTTTTAAGATATGAACCATGCACCTCATTTATTTTCTGGCCTCATTTATTTTCATTCTTTTTCAAGTACTTACCCTATGCTCTACCTTCTCTGGTTTATTCTCTGTTTGGAGAATATTTTGTCTTTTCATATCTTTGCCCTTCCTTTAGTTTGAAAAGCTTATCTTCCTTGATTTCCTTACACTCTATTTTTATTTTTTCAAATAGGACTTTATAATAGAGACACATGAGAAATATTGAAACAGCGAAGCCCACCTCAAGCCCCCAGGTAGAACTGAGGAGCTGAACTGAACAATGGAGTGGTCTTTGAGAGATTATGTATATTATCAGTGTGAAGAGTTCTGTACCAATGAAATGAATTATGATTGCTAGAATGTGAATCCTGACTCTGGCTTACTAGCTTTGTGACCTCTGTTCCTCAATTTCGTCTACAAAATGAAGATGTAATAATGGCAGCTACTTTAGAAGGTTATGGCAATTGAATGAGATCATCTTTGGGAAAAGCCTTCAGCAAGGTCTTGGCACATATCAGGCCTTCACAAATCTAATTTAGGTGTTTTCTTTTCAGAATGCACTCCACATTCTTCTCACTCTTAGGTACCCTCTGAGGACTTGAACAAAGATTCTTTATCCACTAAGCATCTGCTTCCTCCTGCAATCTGGAAAACCTCAGGGGACAGAGCACAGAGAAAATCCAGTCTCTGGAGGAGTTACAGTGTTTGGCTAATGGGCAAAGGCCAAAGGGAGCTGGGGTGTCCAGAAAAAAAGCAGGATGATAGAGAATCTAAAGAGGAAAGAAGGCTCGCAGTGGGACATCTTTGAAAGTGGCAATGACTCTCTGTTGTTCATATTTGATTGTAAGCTGCTCTTGAAGGATCCTGTATAAGTCTCCATTCTTTAGAGTAAAAGACATGAGGACACATCAGAGGATGTTGAATAGAGAAAACTCCAGGAATGTAGGTAACTGACCTGGGACTGGGTGTTGGGCTGATAAGTCTGAAAGCCAGGGTCATCCTAGAAAGGAGAGATAAGCCTTCCATTCCATTTAAAGGTCTGGGCAAGTCAGGTGGGTACTTCTGATGTCAAGATCACCTTCTGGAAATGGTGAGAGGATGGAGAGAGGGAGAGAGTAGGGGGCACATGACTACTTTGGTAGAAAAAGGGGTAAGTTCCACCATGGTACAATGGAGAGAAAGTTTTCGGAGACCACAGGAGTTATAAGAGAGCAGTAGGCCTGATTGAAAGCATCTTTATTTGGTTGGAGAGGGGAGGCATAGGGTTATTATAAACACAAAGGCTCCATAATATACATTACTGCCTTTACTTTTAAATAATTTTAATTTGGATTGTGTATTTCCCATCCTTTAAATAAGAATGAAAATCCTCACATCTCTTACGGTCCATTTCTTGGAGTTAAGTGACTTATCTAAGCTTTTCTTCAGCGATTGGCCCTCCAGGTTTTTATGTGAATGTCATAGCAGGACTGAAGGCAGAGGCTGGTTCTGTGTTGGAAGTGTCTTAAGAGAGCTCTTGATCAGAGTTTTCTGAAAACCATCTTAACCAGGGAGCAACTGTGTTAGTATCTTGCTCTAAGTAGTGGTCATGTGGTGTGCTTGTATGTTCTCTTTATAAAACATTATAAAGCTGCATACCTGAGATTTGTGCATTTTACAGTATGTAAAATAAAAAAAAGGAGTAGGCAGTAATAGGAAATGTTTTGGATAGGTCATGTAAAATTTAAAAAATGAGAAGAAATAATTAAATTGGGCATTATGGAGATCATTGTTGATCTTAAGAGAAACTTTTCAGTAATAGATTGAAGAGAGAAATAAAAAAAAATATATGATCAACAACCCAAATGTCCTGTCATTTAAAAGGAATAAAATATATGAACCTCTTAGCAGAATTAATTCAGAAGAAAAAAATAAGAAAAATGAAAGCCTCAAAGAAATGAAAAATATGACCAGCTAGAAGTTGCCAGAGTGCAGAGAGGAGGGATGAGCAGTGCACAGAAAAAAGGTAGATTTGTACAGGATATGTATAACAAAGCTTTCCGTTTTCTTCTCATGATCTATCACTGAAGATGTCTCATTCAGTGACTATAAACATCAAGGTTGTTTTTGTTTTGTTTACTTAAATATGTTTTTATTAATTTCAGAGAGGAAGGGAGGAGAGAGATAGAAACATCAATGATGAGAATCATTGACTGGCCGCCTCCTATACTGGGGATCGAGCCCACAACCTGGGCATGTGCCCCTGACCGGAGGCCAAACCCAAATCCGCAGGCTAACACTCGATCCACCAAGTCAAATCAGCCAGGGCACATCAAGGTTCTTTTTTTTTTTTTTTAAAATAAATTTTTATTGATTTTTTACAGAGAGGAAGAGAGAGGGATAGAGAGTTAAAAACATCGATGAGAGAGAATCATCAATCAGCTGCCTCTTGCACACCCCCCACTGGGGATGTGCCTGCAACCAAGGTACATACCCTTGACCGGAATTGAACCCAGGACCCTTCAGTCTGCAGGCCGATGCTCTATCCAGAGCCAAACTGGTTTCGGCTCAAGGTTCTTTTAATATGACCAGGAAGCAGAGCTTATTATTTTATTCAGTCTATTCCATTATAAGGCATTTCTTACAATTAGGCTTTGTTGTTGTTAGTGGTGGTTTATCTGGTTCAATAAAGACCATGGTTTGCAATCATATCCTCAAAATTCTAAATAATAAAGTTTTATTGTACTTTTCAATGTCTTTACAGCTTATCAGAGTTATTTATATAGAACACATGTGTCAAACACAAGGCCCGCGGGCCAAATCCGTCACGCCAGGCCTTGCAATGTGGCCCGCACCGCGCTGTCATCACTGCACTCCGCTGCGTTTCCATCACAATGACAGTTTATGACTGTTCAGTAAACCATTTGGCCCGCGATTTAGGCTGGATTTTAGATTTTGGCCCCTTCTCTGATTGAGTTCGACACCCCTAATATAGAAGAATCATAAAAACCTATTGAGGGTCATCGTTAAAGGAGCTCTAAAGTTTTATTTGCAGCTATTTAATCTATTAAATGAACCTAGCTCAACGAGGAAATCCGGGCTGAAGTAAAGAAAAGGTAAGGATTATAAATATTTCCAGTTTATTATCTCCTATGAAAAATTATGTTGTTCTTTAATGACATTTTCATGAATTCACCAATTCATTTTGTTAATCAGAAGGATGCTACATTCATCTTTTGCCTAGCACTATACTGGGGATACAAAATATGATATGTATAGATGTTCATTATCAGGAAGTTCATTGTTTCATTAAAAATATTAGGAACTGAACATATAAAGATAAAAGAAAAACTCTTCTGATTTCTCATTCATTCATCTGTTTGCTATAATGAGCACACATATCTTCTTTTAATGGACTTGCACACCACAGCATGTGTCACAAACTTGGTATAAGTCCAAGACCAAGATACATATGATTGAATGTAATAAAGTCAAGGGTAGAGCATTGGAATTGTTAATTTAGGTCCCTCAGAGGTCAGTATGTGAGATTCATTGAAAGCTCAGAAGGTATATAATTTAGCTTTGACATGGAATGGCGGACGAAGTACAGAAGAGACTTCCAAAGGAGGTAACCCATAAGACGATCTTTGAATAATGAATAATGAGGCAAAGAATAATGAGGTGGATGGGAGGTGTGGCAGGATAACTTTGTCAGATGTAAGTTTTCTAGTTCTGAACTGACAATACCACCAGGCTTTCCTAACACCACAGCTAGGAATAAATCTCACAGGATTGCATTCTTTTCTTACATCATTTTATGCAATTAACAGGAAAACAGACTCATCTGTGATGATGGGGACACCTTACAACCACACAATGGAAACCCCTGCCACCTTCTTCCTTGTGGGTATCCCAGGTTTGCAGTCTTCACATCTTGGGCTGGCTATCTCAATGAGTGCCATGTATATCATAACCCTTTTAGGAAACACCCTCATCTTGACCATAATCTTGATGGATTCCACTCTACACGAGCCCATGTTCTGTTTCCTCTGTGTTCTGGCTGCTGTGGACATTGTTATGGCATCCTCTGTAGTGCCCAAGATGGTGAGCATCTTCTCCTCAGGAGGCAGCTCCATCAGCTTTAATGCTTGTTTCACTCAGATGTATTTTGTCCATGCAACCACAGCTATGGAGACTGGGCTGCTGCTGGTCATGGCTTTTGACCGCTATGTAGCCATTTGTAAGCCTCTACACTACAAGAGCATTCTCACGCCTCAAGTGATGCTGGGAATGAGTATGACCATCACCATCAGAGCTGTCATATTCATGACTCCATTAAGTTATATGGTGAGTCATCTACTTTTCTGTGGCTCCAATATTGTTCTCCATTCCTACTGTGAGCACATGGCTGTGGCCAAGTTAGCATGTACAGACCCCATGTCCAGTAGTCTTTATAGTCTAATTGGTTCTTCCATTATTGTGGGCTCCGATGTGGCTTTCATTGCTGCTTCTTATACCCTGATTCTCCAGGCAGTCTTCAATCTCTCCTCAAAGAATGCTCAGTTGAAAGCATTAAGCACGTGTGGCTCTCACATGCTGGTTATGGCTCTGTACTACGTACCTGGGATGGCATCCATCTATGTGGCCTGGCTAGGGCAGGACATAGTGCCTTTGCACACCCAAGTGCTGCTAGCTGACTTATATGTGGTCATTCCACCTGCTTTAAACCCCATTATCTATGGCCTGAGGACCAAACAAATACGGAAGCAAATATGGAGTTTGCTGATGCACTCTCTTTGACCACTTCAACCTGGGTTCATGAATACAGTCTATTCAGGTCTTGAGCATTCAAGCCTACTTCAAATAGTATGTCTTAGAGATATGAGGAGATGGTTTGTTAAAAAGGTGTCCTAAGATGAAACTGTGAAGAATATCCTTGTGTAACTTTTCAATTTCTAGCAAAAATGTGAATGGTTAATTTTTTGACATGTTCAATGGTTTCAATCAACTAGTATCTGAATTAGGGACAAATTTGGGCAGAAAAATACAATAGATTTGGGGTTTTTCTTTCTTCAGCTTCTGACCTATATTTCCAACTTAATATCCCTCTGCAAAAGAAACAAACTGTTTGGCTTCCTCACACTTGGCTGATTTGATCAGAATTGTCCATTTCCTTGTGTGATTATATGGAAGCAGCTATTAATATATGACTCTGTCTTCTGGCCCATTGATGAATCCATTCAACTTGGGGCATGTGCTCACCCCTGGTCTAGAGTCCTTCTCTAATAAAAACAGATTCCAGTTTATCCCAGGAGATGTAAACTTGGGATCACTGATGGTGGCCATTTTTCTAAAACATGAACGTGGAAAGAGAAATCTATTCCATAGCAGAAGCACATTTATAAGACGGGATGAAGAAACTGAGTCTCTGATTCTCTGGTTTCAATCCATTTTGGATACTTGAATATACCTTTATTATTAAGTCCTATAGGATCCTGCTATTTCATTTTACTATATCCCCATTGTTAAGCTAGTTGGAGTCGCTGTGTTAATTACAAGCTTTTTATTGTATTTATTTATTTTAAATTATTTCTTTAAATATATTTTATTGATTTTATACAGAGAGGAAGGGAGAGAGATAGAGAGCTAGAAACATCGATGAGAAAGTCATGGATCAGCTGACTCTTGCACACCCCCTAACGGGGATATGCCCGCAACCAAGGTACATGCCATTGACCGGAATCGAACCCGGGACCCTTCAGTCCCCAAGCCGACACTCTATCCATTGAGCCATACCTGGCCACAAGCTTTTTATTCTTAAGCAACAGAGGCCAAGGCAATGTGAGTTCAGTTTTGGACATCTTTCACTTTTCTTCCTAGTCCTGCTTGTATAACTTAACTGTAGACACAGAGGAGAGGAATCAAATATAAAAGGTCTTTCTTCTTTTGAACACCTCTCAGTAAATGTGCTCAGGGATGAAAAGGTTAATAGAAAACAATAGCAATATCAATAATGAAGCTGAAATGTCACTGCTCTTCTCCAGCTCACCAGATACTTTTTATATTTTACTTTTTCAAAAAGTCTTAAAGAGAATAATCAGTATAAGCTTAAAAAAAAAAAAGGTTTCATATGTAGGAGTACATATGTTTAACTCTGATAGAATTGAAAATCTTAATAGAGCTGATAACAATTATATCTGAATATTAATATCTCCTTTCTATTGATGGAAGAACCAATGATAATTTATAGAGGGTATTAAAATAAAGGATAGCTCATAAGATTAACATGTTGTACATACTTAAAATATATGCCCAATATCTCTCTTTTAAAAAATTATTTGAATTTAGAGACAGAGGGAGGGAGGAACATTGTTTTGTTGTTCTATTTGTTTATGCATTCCTTGTTTTTTTCTTGTATCTTTTATCTTTTATGTATCCTAACTAGGGATGGAACCTATAACCTTGGTGTATTGGATGATGCTCTTACAGTGGCCGGCAAACTGTGGCTAGCGAGCCACATGGGGCTCTTTGGGTTCTTTGACCCCTTGAGTGTGGCTCTTCCACAAAATATCGTATGTGGGCACACACATACGGTGCAATTGAAACTTCGTGGCTCATGGGCAGAAGTCGGTTTTCAGCTCTCAAAAGAAATTTCAACCATTGTGTACTGTTGATATTTGGCTCTGTTGACTAATGAGTTTGCTGACCATTGCTCTAACCAACTGACCCAGTGGCCAGGGCTACACAATAGATTTATAATTCAATGATTTGAGGTACTATTAGAACTGCAGTCTTCTAATTATCATTCATGTAATAATTCTTCCAAACAGACATGCTATATTCATACCTTTTGCTAACATTAGACTTGTCTGTCTACTAGGATATATTCTGTTTCTGAATACCAGTGGAGCAGAAATCAGCCTCTAAAAATCTGATAATGCATTGAGCTCCCAGAGTAGTAAAAAGAAATCTTCCTCCTCTTGCAAACCCATTTATAAAAACAAATCAAGATGAGGTGGTTCAGTATATTTGATTTCTATTTTGAAAAGTCACACTATTCTTTCTTCATAAGCAAACCAAATAATTGACTAGTATCTGATGAAAAGCAACAAAGGCACAGTCTAGCTCGCCCCCAAACCAGAAATGTCTTCACAGCATTTCCATTAGAAACCTACCCTGCAGCTGTTTCATTCACGTTAGTATTCCCTGAAATTGGGATCCACTATTGGACCTCAAATCTTTACTGAACTGAATCCTTTACAAAGTGGACTGGTTCCCTCCCTTGGCTATACCCCAAACAGAAAGTCCTGTGCTTCCCCCATACATTCAGATACAACTCCTACCATATCACATGAAGCAGCTTGTGCTCATTTAACTAGTGCCTATAATTCACAGCACTCTCAATGTTTGCTTTTAAGACATTACAACCAATCCTGCTTGAAAAAAGGTAGACTATATTTCCTGTGGGTTGTAAACCCACCTATTTGCCCTCTGTCTCTTCCTTTTGCAGAACTCAAGCACTTCACCCATTTAGTAGCCTCTCCCTCAAGGCTCAGGCACTGTACCCCTTGGTTTCTGTCAGTAAAACAAAAATAGGCAAATCTCATGCCTGAACCCTGCCTTGTGGTGAATTATCACATCAAATTGGAGGTGCCAGGGTAATAATTTTCAGGGAATATGCAGGCACTTTACCCTTCTCATAGCTATTTGCCTCTTCCCCTTCCAGAACACTTTTATAATTATTCATCAAATTAGTTTTTGAATAAGATTAGAACTAAATGTTATCTAGTCTTTCATGCCCCTTTGAGGCAAGGGGAGCTTATTTTTTGCTTTGATTCTATGAATAAGATTCAAAGTTCCCTCATTTGTTTATTCACACACACACACACACACACACACACACACACACACACACACTGCTAGACTGAGGGTACAATGGTGAACCAGACAAATAAGGTCTTGTTCTTTCTTCATGGGGTTCTTAGAAGAGAAGGGCACATAAATACCCTAAAGAAAAGGGTTTTTCATATGCTTAAAAACTCCAATCTTCTTGCCTGGTCTTAACAATCAGAAAATATGAAATAACGTGCCATCACTTAACCTGTAATTCTTCTAACAAACAATCATAGCTCCAAAATGATCTTATAAGTAAAAAAAATCCCAAAGCCCCCCCCCCCCAAACACACACACACACACACACACACACACACACAAACAAAACCAAAACCAAAACCCCAAAGCCCCCAAAGAATACTTAACAAATTAAGCCATCCCACTCCTTAGTTCATTCTAGGTTTGAATGAATTTATCAACTTTTCTCTGAACCTTCCAAGGATGATCCTAATAAAACAATAGTAAAAGAACAATACTGACTTTTCCCTAGCCTCTTTTGCTAAGTGTCTATGGACATCTAATGGGAAGCACTTCCTACAGAACTATTTCTCAAGTCCATAAACAATTCCCAGGTACTCTACCCTCCACATGGCTACTTGCCTACCTGCCTCTTCCCCCTCTGGGCCACTCTGAGTCCTCCCCACAAAAAGACACACGGCCCCTCTACTTTAGGTCAGCTCAGTGCTTTGCCAAGACCAGGTCTGTGACTGATGCACCAGTCCATTCCCCTTCTGTTAATGCTCAAGAAGTGACTTGGAAGCCTGGTGGGCAGAATGAGTTTATTTTTCCATTTTGGCCTTTTTTTTTACCTCTTTCATTTACTAACAAAGTAGAAAGGCAGTTTTTGCTATTATTTATTACAGGAATTACTTTACTTCTGTCCATACATCATCTACTATCTTCTTTGCTGTTCATTCCTTCCCCAACATTATTACCTTCACATCTAAAGTACATCAGAAATTGTGTCTTTATGTTGTAGCCTCTCGCAACAGGCAAAGCCATGAACTCTTCATGCTAGTCTTGCAGTTCATTTCTAGACACAACCGTCCCACATCACACTCCTAAGGCCTTCAGTGAGTTATTTTTGCCACACACAGCAATCACTCATAGGCCAATAGCACAGATACAGTCTTAAGTTCCCCTTCACTATAGATACAGCTCCCAAACTGGCTTCTGTGCCTAGTCCTACTCTTTCCCTCACACTGCCTCCCATTTCTCCTTCTGCCACAGATTTAAAGAAGACAAAGGCAGGGAGAATGTTACATAGTTACCAGAACAATTCAGACTCCCTTTGTGACACAAAAAGATCTAAACTTTAGCTCAACTAGCTTATAGGCGAGCGAGTCTTTTTCCTGGGCATTTTGTTTTTCATTTTAAATTATCTCGTCTCTATCCTGTGGTCACAATCCCAATTCTAATCCAAACAAGAGACAAACCTACAACAGATACACAGAATACTAAGTAGCCCAGAGTTTGCCCTGGGAGGGCCACCTTCTGTCTAAAGAGCTCTAGACTGTGAGGAGAGGCCTCGAGACAGAGGCCCTGCTGTAAGATGCTGGCTGAGAATGTGAGATAGGAAGGTAAGATGGGCAATATTCTCAACTTGCCTTCCTCTGTCCCTGAGAAAGGAACACAAGTATGGGATGGATCCGAGATCCTCACAAAAACCCTGTGAGGTAGGAGAGTATACAGCCACTCCACCCATTTTTCCAGAGGCTGAAAAGCCTTTCAATTGGGTGGGAAGTCTCAGACCCAAAAGTAATGAATGACACGCAGACATGTGACCCGAGAAGTGAGCCTTGCCGATCTTGATTCGTTTGAATGTGAGAAATAAGTTATAATCTCTACAATCTGCTTTCAATAGCTCTGCGAGAAATAACTTACTCTATTAAGGCCATTTCAGTTTTCTCTTCCACAGAGTGAAACTAAAAACAAGGCTCACAGGTTCTCTGATTCTTCCAGCAAGAAGGAGACACAGGCCTCCTTAGAGCTTGAGACAGTGGTGTGCCCAGCTCGTGCTGAGGAGGAGGGCCACTGGAGTGGTCTGGGCAATCCGCAACGAATGACTCTAGTTTGCATGTCAGAGAGCAGAGCTCAAACGTTTGCTCATCAGCAGCAAACCTCAGGGGAGGCCTCCTCCAACTGGCCTCTATGGAGCAGCCAGCTCTGGATGTGAGCTGGATTTTTTTGCCAACAGGTTTCCAGAAGGTAGGATCTACTTCATCGTCCTTCATGACTTAGTTATGGCACCAACAGGGACTGAAAAAGAGGGGCCTGAGCTACAGAAAGGACAAGTTCTCCTGTGAGAGTCACTGGGTCCTTCACCATCAGCCCTGTCATGCTTCCCTCACAGGGACAATGCCCATGTGACTAAGCCTCACCTCCTTCACATGAGAAGTTTAGTGAGAGATGTGGGCTGAGGAGCAGCAGACCACTGGGCCAGGCAGAGGAATCCCAAATTCTACGCTCAACTCAGTTTAAGGGAACCCTTGTCAGGGGCGGGGCCCTGCGAGACCCCTGGGGCCTCTGGCTGGATGGTGGGTCTCAGTCCTCTCCGTCCAGGGAACAGATGGCCAGAGGGGCAGTGTTGTTGGCACCGATGCTGTAGCAAGGACTAAAGTAGGGCAGGAGGCGCCCGGGAAAGGGGTGGTGGGGGAAAGTGAAAATGTGGGAGCCGTTGTCGGTCACGTTGTAGAAGGAGATGTCTTGGGCCTCATAATCCAGGAAGACACCCACCCGCCGGGGAGGGACTGGCAAGGGCAGGAGGGGGTACTCGTCAGTGCCTGCCCGGTACTCATTGCCCTTCCTCAGCCTTATCACCCAGAAGCCATAGTTGGGGGATAAATAGACCACCTCCTTCCGGTCGACATCTTCCTTACACACTCCCAGGCCCCATTCAGACCTGTCTCCCACCTCCACCTCCCAGTAGTGCCGGCCTGAGGAGAGGCACTGGCTGCCCAGGACGATGTTATAGCGGTAGAATCTCTCAGGATTGTCGGGCAGTTTCTGGTTGGTGTCTCCATAGCGCACGCACTTTCTGTCTTCAGACACGATGAGGCGGGAATAAGCAGTGTCGGGATCCAGGCGCACATCAGCTAGGGACAGAGATCCCGGTTGGCAATGCTGGTACAGAGCAAGGGGCCCTAGGAGAGGTCTCCCTGATAAATACAGCCCCGGATTTCTCAGTGACGGGTGGGAGCGGGGCCGGTTGGGATATTCAGAAGACACTGAGCGGTCTTATTTTTCTGGGCGGGGACCCTCCCACTGCCCATCACAACCTCCCCCAGCACTCATTACCTGCATACGTCTTCAGGATCTCCCTCAGGCCCGGCACCCGGCAATCTGTCTTCAGTTCCAGGGAGACTGGTTCTGGCCGCTGGAAGCTCCAAGACTTGCTCCTAATAGAGGAGGGGTAAGCCCTGGGTCGAGGAGTCTTAGCTCAGCCACATGGACCCTCCCTTAGTACAGGGAAGAGGGGCTTGGCAGGGAGGTGCCATTCCCCAGCATCACCAGGCAAAGGCTGTGATGCGTATTCGACGGAGAGGAAGGTTTGTGGCACAGACAGAACATTCACCTGACACGGGGAGAGGAACCGCTGTGCCACACTCAGAGCTTAGAGACTAACGGACACGTCTGTGGTGTTTTTCCCTCCCTGAGAGATCTATTTGAAACCACATATTTTATAACTTTTCTGAGATTCTTATTGGTAACACTTGAAACGAATCTGATCAAGTACAAAGAAGAAAGGTGACTAAAGCTCCTTTGGCCAATGAGAGGAAAGAGGGAGAAGATTATGGAGCAGCCCCCCGGTTCTCTGCCGCATGGGTCTCTGTTCCTTTCCCACTTCTGGCCAGGCCCCTCCCGGGGCTCCAGGGATGGGAACGTACCTGTTTAAGACCTCCCGAATGCCCTGAAAGGAGAAAAAAAGAAATGCAGCACATGAGTATCTGCTGTTCCTTGGAGGGACCAGACAGACATTAAGCGCCGGGAGGGGGTTTCTCTAAGGCAGTGTTTCCCAAAGTGTGGTACACGTACCCCCAGAAGCACGGGAAGAGTTTGGTGGGGGTACGCGCTGCACCGGAGTTTGGTGGGAATATGCACTGCACTGTGCTTAGCTGCACCTAATATACCCATTTTTTTTTTTTTTTTTTGACAAGGGATACTCAGTGTTACAAAAATTATAGAAGGGGTACACATATGTCAAAAGTTTGGGAAACACTGCTCTAAGGGAAAGGGAGGCACAGAGCAAGGCTGGAGAGAAGGTGTGCAGAGGTGGACGGGAGAAGCCTATGGGAGGGGAGGATAGGCTGAGCCGGACTGGCTGTCTCAACAATCTGGCCAAAGGAGCAGGAGTGCAGAGCTGCCTGAACACCGCCCCGCCTACCTGCCTACAATGGGCCAGGGCATCCAACCAACCAGGGGCAGGAGAAGTGCAGGGATGGAGGTGGGTACGGGTGCACTCACCTGCAGCATCCAGCGGACAGGCCTCTGAGACCTCTCTTCCAGCTCTGCGATGAGCCGGCACAGGACCCGGCTCTGCTGGATGAGCGTGTCGTGACTCAGCTCCAGTTTCTGCCTCGTGTCCCTCTCCTCCCGCTCCAGGCTGGCGAGAGCTGAGGCTGCCTCTGCCTCCAGCTGCTCACCGGGTGGCTTGTGCTTTAGTAACTGCCGATACTTCTCAAACTCCCACACGATACTCTGCTTTCGGGTTTCCACCTGTATCTACACAGCCAGGATCGGAGAAAAGCGCTGATATTGTTCGTGCAAGGGCCACCAGGGACTGTGCAAGCCCCCCCCCCCCCCCCTCTGGAATGTTTTGGTACCAACTGTATGCCTGGCACTGTAGAGGCCAAGTTAAAGGCTACTATTTTTCTTATCTTCTGTTCTCACATGCTTCTGGGGCCCTATTACTGATCCTTGTCCACTTCAGTAGGGCCCAGGCACTATGTGCTCTAGACTGTTTCCTATTTTCAGAATAGTATATGCTACTTTCAAAATAATGACCAGAGCATTACACTTGAGCCTCTAAGGCAGGTAACAACTACACTGGTAGATGCTTTTGCTTCCTACTGGTATTATCCCGGTTCAATACGCTATTTTTGACTGGTTCAGTGTTACCTTCTGTTGACCTAAAGTTCTGATAGTTTGGTAGTTACGGCCACAAATTTATTTCAGAGGCGATCTTCCAGTGTACGTGAGGTGTGTATGAGGACATATGAGGTTATCCCTACATCACAATCTAGAAACTGGAGTGAGAAGAACGTGGCCAGCCTAGGGCTGCACAACCTGTGGAGGAAGCTGGCATGAGGATCCCTGGCTCTGAGTTCAATCCCCACATTGTGCTTCTAGAGATGACTAAGTCACCATGGCCAGCTCCAGGACAACACCGGAACCACCCAAACTCCTTCCCCAGGCGGCAACCTGCCTTCCAGGTGGCAGTTCGTTTCCTCTCACCAACTTCCAGCTTCCAGGCCTCTTCTTGCTCTTTCCTCAGGTGTTCCAAAGCCTCGTGGAGTTTCCACTGAAAGAGAGAAAACCCCCAGCCTGGTTGATAATGAGGCTTGTTAAGTAATGGGGGGAAAAGCGTCCCTCCGGTGATGAGCCAGAATGAATGCTGGGAGCAAAGTGATGCCAAGGAGGGAATAGAATCCTGCCCACATGACATCCAAGGTAGCTCTCGTTCTGAGAATCATTTCAATTCCCACAGTCTCTAAATTTCTGCGGAGTGAGAGAAAACGTCTGTTTCCAAGCTCCTTGGACTTCCTACCCAGCATCTTTATACTTGTCTTCTACATTACCCTATGGCCTCCTAAAATCTTCCTATGCAAAGTGTGGACTAAGATGGTCGACAGCATCAGCAACACCTGGAAGCTTGTTAGAAATGCAGAGTCTCGGGCCCACCCCAGACCTCCTGAATTAGAATTAGAATTTTAGCAAGAATTTGGGGTGGTTCAAATGCTCATTAAAGGTAAGAAGCACTATCCTAGAACACTCATGCAAAAGATTACTACTGGAAAGCATAAAGTACTCTGATGATGATATTAACCATTTTGTTAAAAAGTTACCAATGCCACACATACGCTTAAATACTAAATAAACATTCAATACTCAACCTTGAGACTGGGATTATCCCCATTGTACAGATAATAAAACTGATGCTGAGAGAGAGAGAGAGGGAGGGAGGGAGGGAGGGAGGGAGGGAGGGAGACATGCTCAAAGCTATTCAGCTAGTAACTGGTTGAGCTGGTACTTAACATGCTTATGTGATACCGCCTTCTCTATTCTAATACTCAAAACAAAATGAGCAAGTAAATACTTTTAATTTTGTAGAAATTCTTCTCACATATAAAACAGCTAATTCTGGGAATTTGTGTTACACTCTTACATTCTAATCTCAACTTCCAGAAAGGAAATTAAGACCAGTATTGCATCAGAGTTATTGGCATAATGATTCTGTAAAGGTATGTCAACACAGACAACTGAGGAAAGTATAAGAAGCTGGAAGTCGATAAGGGTAGATTAAAAAAAAAAAAAAAAGGAATAGCAGGGGTGTCAGAGATGATCCTCCCTACAGGCCCTCCACAGTGGCCCCCCCCCCCCCAAAAAAAAAGGCCTGAAAGAGGAGAAAGAATACTGGCCCAAAAGCAAGACCTGAATCATATTTGATCTTCCTTTAACTAACTTAACGAAAAGTAAAACCTAAATGTTTCAGCCATAGTCTCTTCCAGCTCTAAAACCAATTATCATGATCTCAAATTTCTAAGCCTCAGTTTTGTGTATAAAATGATGGGGTTAGAGTGACTCACACAATGTCAAATGAGTATTTGTGGCATTGCTAGGGGTTTGCAGTTCCTGATAGCTGTAGCCTTGACTACCCCATACCAGACTCATTCAAGGCACCAAGAGCTCCAGCTAAACCAGACTGCGTCTCCTTCAAATTCTCGGTAAGGAAGCATCTACGGGTTAGGCATTAAGCCATTTTGGGGTTGGGGATGGGGCACGGAAGTGGGAGGGAAGGAAGTCAAAGGAGGTCATAGATGCAAGGAGAGACGTGGCTCCCTGTATCAGGTCCCAAGGCTCTGTGGACACAAGGAGCAAAGGAATCAGTTCTCCTTTGATCTCTGGGGCCTCTGGTCAAGTTCCTTATTTAGACATAGCCGCGTGAGAGGCGGGGGAGAGATCGGGGTAGCTAGCCTCGGCCTCCCACCTTGTACTCCCAGGCGACATCCTCCATGGGCACGACGCTGTGGGCCTCGTGCTCAGGGGACCGGCTGCAGGTCTCACATGTGACCAGGCCATCCTCTTTGCAGAACATCTTCAGCTGTTCTCCATGGAGCTCACACACATCGCCCTTCAACCCCATTCCTGGGTGCAGGCCTAGCAGGCAGACTTTTTCTACCACGTTGGCCAGCTGCCAATTAGGCCTCAGGTTCCCTGGCTGGACGGGAGTCCGGCAGAGGGGACACGTGTAACCCCAGTTCTGGGATTCCCCCGGGACCTCCCAGAGCCCGGCGAGACAGCTGTGGCAGAAGCTGTGGCCACAGTCGATGCTCACGGGCTCCCTCAGGTAGGCCATGCAGATGGGACAGGCCAGCTCCTCCACAACGGCTTCCACCAGCGCTGCCGGGTCCATGGCTCCTGGTCACACCCTCCTCGGAACATGAACAAAACCACGCGGAGGCACTGGAGGCTGAGAAGAAGAAAAGAAAAACAGGTAAGAGGAAAACGTAACAGAGGGCAAAGGGATCCCTAAGTGGGATAATTCATGTGTGGGGAAAAAACCAAGTTCCTCCTTCCAATCCTTCCTCCGTCCTTTACTGACCCTCTTTAATAAACCCTGGCCTTCCCAACAGAAGTTCTGACCGGGCCCTATTACTCACACCACAGAGGGCCATCGGGGGATGCTGGAGCAAGTGAATGCTGGGAATTCTCACTGTTCATCCATTCAGTCATCTCTGACCCTTCTCTGGGGTCATGAGACCCACCTCAATCATGCTCTTCAAATCAGCATTATTCCTCTGGAACTTGGATAAGGTCACAAAGATGGGATGTTTCAGTACCTAAACTAAGGCCAGAAATACCCCTAGTCCCACTCTCCGGTAGGTTTATTCATATACTTATATACTTCAAGGGGCAAAAAGAGGCTGTGTCAGAAACCCATTGCCTACATACTCAACTGGCAGATAAAAAACAAAGGTCATCTGATGTTAACCAAACCCATATGATGAAGGCATTCCCCAGGAAGACAGAGGGGCAGGGCACTAAGAGCTATCACAATACAGGTTGAGATCTATGATTGAAAGCTACAAAGATCAACAGGAGAACTAAAAATTAAAAAAAAAATAGAATGGAAAACCTGGTGGGAGGTAAAGAAAGAGCAAAATGATAAATCAAGAAATGCGGTGTAAATAAGGATATTATTTAGATTTAGATTTCTGCATAAAAAAAGTTAAAAGCGTGGTCTCTGTAAAAAGGATTTAGAGGTGGGTATCTACTACTCTTAGGATATAAAATCTGCTTCATTGTTTCCTTTGTTCTGCATAAATTACTTGGACGAAACTTTATTAAACATTTAATTGCTTCGAAATTGCCTTTGGCAGGGCGGGGAGTCAGTCTAGGAAAGACCTTTTATTTTTATTTTTAAAAAAAAATATTTTTTATTGCTTTTTTTACAGAGAGGAAGGGAAAGGGATAGAGAGCTAGAAACATCGATGAGAAACATCGACCAGCTGCCTCCTGCACCCCCCCCACTGGGGATGTGCCCGCAACCAAGGTTCATGCCCTTGACCGGAATCGAACCTGGGACCCGCAGGCCGACGCTCCATCAACTGAGCCAAACCGGTTTCGGCTAGGAAAGACCTTTTAAAGGGAGGGGGCAAAGCTTGGAAAAGCCTTGCATGGGGGGTGGGGGGGTTTGAGTGGAGGCGGCGATCTTCCGGGTTCGAGCAGAGGTGGGGGGCAGGGGTGGTAAACCCTAGGCCCAGGGCCGGGGGCAGGGCCCCAGAACAGCGGCAGAGTGAGGAGACTTGGCAGGACCTCTGACTTCCGAAGCGGCACGGCTGTCTACCCACCTCCCCCCTCAGACCGCAGTAGCGCCCATGGCGACCGGGGAAGTGGAGATGCCACGTTCCCACGGCCGAGCGTCCGCCACGTCCGAGGCGGCCGGACCGCAGCACTTACCGCCCGCGGGCACAGGTCCCCGCCGCCGCCGCCGCCGCCGGCTCCGCGGCCTCTCGCCGGCTCCTCGGCCCTACGCCCGCCCTCAGGCCCCGCCCACAGGGCCGGAGCCAATGAGCGGCGGGCGAGGGCCCGGCGCCGGAATTCGTCCAGCGGCATCTTTGTGGAAGCAGCCAATCACAGACAGGGATCAGGACAACCCTAGCCAATCAGAGGAGGGGACGGGGCCTCGGCGCACCTGTCTGGGCATGCCTGTTTTTTAATCTGTTATCTGGATGTTTGTGTCCCGTTCCACCCGCCCGGAGCCCCTTAAAACCGTAAACGGACCCAGGAGGCCGTCCCAGGACGAACCAAACCGAAGGGTGGGGCTCTGGGATGCGGGCGCTCAGGCTCGGTATTAGCGGAGGCCCAGTTGGTTCCCGGTCCCAGGAGCCATGGACGTCCCGCGCTTCAGCTCCAGCTGACCAGCGGCTGTCCTGAGCGGAGCTGTTCCTTCCGGGTGACGACATCTAATGCTGTTCCTTTGCCAGTTTCCTGTGTTAAATTCACCAACATGTGAGATCAGCTATGCCTGGTTCAATGACTCAAGGTAGCGCAGGTCTGAGCACACAACTGAGCTCTGCAGTTTTCCAGCAAGAGAAGCGACCTCTCCTGGCTCCAGGCGGCGGATCCTGGGTTTTTACAAAACCTTCTTCCTGAGTATTTTAACAGGCAAGGTTCATCACTAGTGCTGCAACACGCCTTAAAGTTAGAAGCAGATATTGGGAGCTGCTGGAGTGAAAGTGAAATGGATGCTTGGTCACAAGTTGTCATTAAAAAAAATTTTTTTTTTAATTTTGTTAAACAACTGATACCCCTCCCTCACCAAAAACAGACAGCCAGGCTTCTATACAGACATACAGCGTCTAAAGGGAATGAATTGGATTTTTCTTTGGACTCCCTGCACCTTGTCCTTTTCCTGACATTTAGGTGTGTACTGAATAAGCAGATAAAGGCACATGTAATCTACATGGGAAATAACAAGGAAATCCTCCAATTGAAGCTCATTTCCATTTTTTAAAAAATTTCTTTTAATTGAAACTCTGGATCCTCAGGCCAATGTCAGGACCCAGGAGACGGTTGAAATTCTGAAGGGTGAGGCCCAGAAAATTTCTGAGACAAATGGGGGAGCAAAAAAAGAAGAAAAGAGATAACTGAGGTCTGAGCTGGACCTTCTGCTCCACCTGAATCTGGAGAAATGGCTGCCAGGACAGAATAGGGAGTGGATTCATTGAAACAAGCCACTTTAAACATTTATTGACCATCAGCTTTTTGCAACATTTTGTGCTGGATGCTGGGATTGCAACTGAGTCACACAGTCTCTGCTCTTAAAAAGCAGAGGATCAAGTTGGTTGTGTTACAGGGCAGTAAGGAGCTCAGAAAATTGCAGGGCAAGTGGAATAGGGAAACAGACAGGAAAGTTAATGTCAAACAATGTGGGAAATTTGTAGCCAGTTTATAAATAACAAGCCATTATCTTCCCCAGACAGGAGCAAATGGTTAACCTCTCTAAGGAGAGAATGCAGAAAAGGAAGGGGGAAGGTGAAAGGAAAAAAAGGCCAGTTTTATTCCCGAAGCAGAAAATCCAGCAGTTTTAAGGCTTGACAGGATAAAATGGCCAGGTGCTTCTCATGAATTCTGGGAAGGCCACATTAAAGTAAAAAGCGTCCTTGATCTGTACCAAAATATTCAGCAGAGGAATTCTGAAACCTATAGATAGAAGGATTTTGATGGATTTTGATATTACATTTAATTAATCCATTTTGAGTTTATTTTTGTATATGACATAAGAAAGTGGTTCAATTTCATTTTTTCTATGTATCTGCCTAGTAATCACTTACTGTAGAGACTGTCTTTACTCCATAGTACCAGTATAGTCTTGTCTCCTTTTTCATAGATTAATTGATCATATACTAGTAAGTGAGGATTTATTTTTGGGCTATTTTGTGCCATTGGTCTATATACATTGTATCTGTTTTTATGCTAATACCATACTGTTTTTTTAAAATATATTTTTTTTATTGCTTTCTTACAGAGAGGAAAGGAGAGAGAGAGCTAGAAACATGGATGAGAGAGAAACATCGATCAGCTGCCTCCTGCACATGCCCCCTACTGGGGATGTGCCCCAAACCAAGGTACATGTCCTTGACTGGAATCAAACCTGGGACCTTTCAGTCTGCAGGATGACTCTCTATCCACTGAGCCAAACCAGTTTCAGCCATACCGTTTTTTTTGTTTATTTTTTAATTTTGGGGGGTGACAGTGGTTAATAAAATTATATAGTTTTCGCCATCTGTATATTGATTGTATTGTGTGTTCACTCCACCCCAAGTCAAGTCTCCTTCTAGTACCATGTTTTGATTATTGTTGTTTTGAAGTATAATTCGACATCAGGGACTTGTTTTTTTCTCCAGATTTTTTGGGCTCTTTGGGGTCTTTTGTGGTTCCATATAAATTATTGTATTAGTTGTTTTAATACTGAGAATACCATTGGTATTTTAATAGGGGTTGCATCAAATCTATGTATTGTTTTAGGTAATAAGGATATTTTAATAATATTAATCCTCCTAACCCATGAAAAGGTATATTCTTCCATTTATTTGTATATCCTTTAATTTCTTTCTTCAATATCTTACAGTTTTCAGAGTACAAGTTTTTCACTTTCTTGGTTAAATTTATTCCTAGGTATTTATGCTTCTGATGCAATTGTAAGTGGGATTGTTTTATTAATATCTCCTAATTATTCATTATTTATGTATAGAACACAACAGATTTCATATATTAATTCTGTATCCTGAAAGTTTGCTGAATTCATTTATTCTAATAGTTTCTTGGTGGACTCTTTAGGTTTCCTATATTAGAGTATTATGTCATCTGCAAATAAAGTTTTACTTCTTTCTAATTTGAATGCCTTTTATTTCTTTTTTCTTGTCTGATAGCTGTGGCTAGAATATTCAATACCATGTTGAATAGAAGTGATAGTGATAGTGGGCATCCTTGCCTTGTGAAAATATTAAAACAAAAATATAAGGATAGAGTGTTATTTTAAAAGCCATTCCATGGTCAAACTTACACAGTATTCTTATTGCTGACACAAGTAAAACACTTCTTGAAAAGTTCCTTTGGAAAATAGTCATTTAAAAATGGAAACAGCATGGTGCTTGATGTTGGTACCAAAAACGTAAGGGGATCTTCCCATTAAACATGTCTCAATAGAAGTAATAGAAATGTGAGTTATGAGTGAACATCAACAAGAAAACCAGTAATCTCTGCATTAAGAGGGAACTAAAAAGGAATCTGTAAACCTCCTCCTTTAACTGTGCACATCAGTGTCCATCCCCCCTACCAAAAAGGAGGATAAGATTGCTCAGAGGTATGAAAAAAATTAACTTCATAATGTTAAGTGCTTTAAGTTAAACAAAAGGAAAAGAATAGCCAGTTGGAGAGTCTGCCTGTTCCATCAAGGTTAGGAGTCAGGGAAGATCTTAAGCAAGGATGTTTAAACAGACATCTGAAGGCTAAGTATTAATCAGAACAGGAGTAAAATTAATGTCCTTTCCATGGGTAAAAATATGTGAAAGCTGAAGGGTGAGAGAAGGCTTGGCACATTGTAGCCGTGGGGTAATTTTGGTACATCTGGGACTCAGTATGCAAAGGGAGGTAGACTTGCTGGTGATGGGTTTTAGACGTACACAGAGGTGACTCATGGAGGCCTTATGAGCTGGGGTAAGAAGTATGATGCCTCATGTTGTTACCAAAACTTTTCATTCTATGTCACTGGGAAGATACTACAGACTGACTTGTGCTTTGAAGGTTACACTGGCCACAGTGGAGAGTAATAATTGGTAAATGGAAAAATATTCAGGGAGGCTGTCCAGTGAACGAGTTATTCTAATGATCTTATTTTGGCTTGAACTGGAGTTAAGACAAAGGAGATGGAGAAAAAGAATCTAATTCATGAGCTATCCAGGAGGAAAACAAAGAAAACTTGATGGTTTTTTAAAATTATTTTTCAATTGAAATGGTATAATTTCAATACCATTTTGTATTGGTTTCAGGTGTGGCTAGACAATTATATACTTTACAAAGTGTTCCCTTGGATTATTCCAGTACCCACTTGACACCGTACATATTTACTACAGTATTATTGACTTTTTCCATATGTTGTACTTTTCATCCCTGTGACTATTTTATAATTGCCAATTTGCACTTCTTAATCCCTTCACCTCTTTCACCCAGTCCCTCAATGGCTCCTACCCTCTAGTAGGGGGAGTTCACTGTTGGGGGATTGGGTCCAGTCTCTGTGTCTATGAGTCTGTTTCAATTTTGTTTGTTCATTTATTTTATTCTTTAGATTACACATATAAGTGAAATCATATAGTATTTGTTTTTCTCTAATTGACTTATTTCACTGAGTATAATACCTTTTAGGGCCATCATGCTGTTGCAAATATCATTTTTTAAAATGTCTGAGTAATATTCCATTATATATGTACCACAGCTTTTTTTTATCTATTTATCTATTGATGGGCACTTGGGATCCTTCCACATCTTGGCTATTATAAATAACACTTTGATAAATATAGGAATGCCCTCCCTTCTCCCCCCCCCCCCCCACACACACAGAGAAGTGTGACGATTAGTGGTTTAAGGAAGAAAGAGCTGTCTTGAGAGAAAGGGAGAGCTAAGGTGCATATATTCTTTCAAATTAGTGATTCTTTTGATAAATCCTTATAGTGGAATTGTTGGGTCATAAGGCAATCCATTTTTAATTTTTTGAGGAACCCTCATATTGTTCTCCATGGTGGTTGCATCAATCTGCATTTCCACCAATATTGCACAAGGGTTCCTTTTTTCTTTTGCATCCTCGCCAATACTTGTTTGTTGATTTATTCAAGGTGGCCATTCTGACAGGTGTGATGTGATGTCTCATTGTAGTGTTAATTTGCATTTTTCTAACAATTAGCCATGTTGAGAATATTTTCATATGTCTATTGACCATCTGTATGAAAAGGACTTGGTACTTGACTGGATGTGTTTGGAGAGGGAAGTGAGAGAGAGACAGGAAAAAGG